ACGTGACCGATGACGACAATGTTAATATGAATTTTTTCTTTTCCCATGATGGATAGATTTTGTTACGACGAACGAGAAGAAAACTGAATGAAAATCTAGAAAATAATTCAAGAAAATTAATGGTATTGTAAATAAATCTTATAAAAGAGAAAAAAGAATTTTATATTTTTAAGTTTGTATTTATTTTCTTTTCTTTTTTTATACTTTCATGAAGTCGTTTTATGAAGTATTTTTTACCATCACAAATACTCAGAAAGAACTACAAGTTTCACCTAAAATTTGTTCCAAACAAGTATGTTCAATTCAGCGATTAGGATGGGAAAAAAGCCAAAAAAACAGCAAAAGAAAAGTTTCGCAAACACATCAGATAGTATCATCACGAAAACCAACCTTGAGAAAACCTTAACTATAAGAAAAGGAAAAAGCCCATAACGAATAACAAGAAAGAAAGTAAAATAAACGAGAAGGGCTATAACAGTATGACAGAGAAAAGATATTTTTGTCTAAAAGCAAATAGAAGAAAAGAATAACTTAGAAATGGAATTACTCCAAGAAAAGAAATCTTTCCGACGTCGTCTCTTTTCCCAATGAGTATCTAGAAAAAGTTGAACGACACTGAAAGATTTAACTGTTCTAAGAAGTTCTGAGACGAGATAATGTTCTATGTATCGCGATGAGTGTTTACGAAGATACTTCTCACGCTATTTTTTGCCTTTGGCAGCTGGTACAGCTTTGGCACCTTTGGCTGCAGCTGGAGCTTTCTTTTCAACATCTTTGATAACACCGACAGCAACTGTTTGACGCATATCACGTACGGCGAATCGACCGAGTGGTGGATATTCAGCGAATTTTTCAACACACATTGGTTTTGATGGAATCATTTTTACCATAGCAGCTTCACCTGATTTAAGGAATTTTGGTGCATCTTCAATGGTTTTACCTGATCGACGATCGACTTTTTCGAGTAATTCAGCGAATTTGCAAGCAATATGAGCTGTGTGACAATCGAGAACTGGAGCATAACCTGCACCAATTTGACCGGGGTGATTGAGAACGATAACCTAATGAACAAAAATAAATAAGAAATAAATAAGAAAAACAACTAAATCTTACTTGAGCGACAAAGTTAGCTGATTCTTGAGCTGGATCATTCTTGATATCTGATGCAACGAAACCACGTTTAATATCTTTTACACTGATGTTTTTGACATTGAAACCAACATTGTCACCTGGTAAAGCTTCTGCAAAATATCAAACACATCACTTATAGCATACATTCATCAATAAACTATAAATATTTACCTTCAAGTGCTTCATGATGCATTTCAATGGATTTAACTTCAGTTTGGATGGTTGATGGAGCAAAGTTAACAACCATGTTTGGTTTGAGAATACCAGTTTCAACTCGACCGACTGGCACTGTACCGATACCACCAATTTTGTAGACATCTTGTAAGGGTAATCGGAGTGGTTTGTCGGTTGG